TGAGCCATTTCCTTGAGATAAATCCCTCTCTAGATAGGTAGATGTATGGTTCACTGGTTTTGCTTCTCTAGAAAACTCAATAGCATTCTGTTCTTGTTTCATGGTTACAATCTCTTGTCTCTCTGAGGATAATAATGGTAATTTTCTGTGAAGTTTTCTTCTCTTTGAATCATGTTTTCTCTGAGGTGTTAGGTGTTTGTTTTGGTCTCTTTCATGTTAGTGAATTTACCCACATGTCTGATAATCTTTGATGATCTACTTATATTTAAGAGTAGGGGACCACAAAGCTGTTTGGAAACTCTGCACCCATGGTTATGGTTTAGTAATGTGAGTTCCATTATAGCTCCACTAAGGATGATCTGGGTGGGCTGTTTTGTCGGGTATCCTCAATGTTAGTATCTTTAGGTCTTTCCTCTTGGGCCTCTGGTCAGTTTCCCCAGAGTAGAGTCTTCTAGTCTTCCACTTGGAGGGAGATGGTCTGGCTGCCATGTCTGGGAGCCATGGAGGAAGAGGACAAATGTGGAGGTCTCAGCGTGGAGTGTGCCTGCCTGTTTTTAATTTCCCTGTTTTCAGGATGGTGTTCCCCCTCAACAGTGCTGCAGCCCTCCATCCAGAGACCCTCTGTTTTACCCTCTCCAGAGACTAAACCTCCAGTCTTAGGCCAGGGTGTGGAAGGGGCAGTCACCCACCTGTGTGGAACTGGGAAGGGGATCTGCTTGCTTTTTAAACGGACTTCAAATAATTCTCCTTATTTAGCCCCTACTTTAACCCCACTTCCAGAGGTAACTGAAGCCACTAATTCATGAACTTTTAGCACTTCTGCCTTATAGATCAGGGTGGTTTGGGCTTCCCCCAGTACTGGCTTAAGAACCTCGCCCTATTTTTTTTCTTCTTCTTTTTTTTTTCTCAGCCAAGTCGATTTCCATTTGTTCATTTGCTTTCCAGTGTCCAAAATGTGGCTGCTTTTGCCTCCTCTCCTATAGGTTTATGCCTTTTAAAAAAAGTTGTTTGGGAGGAAGCGAGAGTAAGTGCATGTGCTCATTTCTAGAATCAAAATGCGACGTAGATGTTATTCACTTTACAGATGTGGAAGTTGAAACTCAGAGAAATGAGGTAACTTGTCTGAGGACACAGATTGAGGTGACGGGGCTGGGACTGGCCCTAAGACCATGATTTTGGTTATAGAGGACAAGGATCCTGCTCAAGATCAGAACACAGGTGTCCCAGAGCCACAGCATGCTGGGGCTGATGGGGCCTTTAGAGAACAGCTGGGCCAACCCCCTCATTGTATGGGAGAGAAAAAGGAGGCCCAGAATGGAGAAGGGACTTTCCCATAGTCACACAGCAAGATCATGCAAACCATGATGAGAAACATTCCCTGCTACACCAATCCTTTCTGTGACATCTTCTTCCAGTCATTGACTCAGCAGACATTTACTGAGCAGTGACTGTGTGCCAGGTCCTGCACTAGGCACTGGGGCTACAAATGTGAGTAAAACATGGTCTTTACCTGCAAGGAGCCCTCACCCTGCTTCCTGCTAGCCACCCGGCACCATTGATGAAGGTGATGGGGGTGAAAGTAACTACACCTGTCACTTATTGAGTACTTACTTCATGCCAAGTGCTGTTCTACTTGCTCTTTATGTATTAATGCATTTCATCCTCACAGCAAGCCTATGAGGTAGGAATTGGTAGTATCACCATTTCACAGTTGAGGAAACCATGGCATGCAAAGGCTGGAATTCAAAGATAGGCAGCTCCAGAGTCTGAGATTTTAACCACCATTCCAAGATGAGGACTGCATGGTATAAGCCATGAGGGAGGGAGGCAAAGAAGGGCAGCAGAGGGAGAGGGAGGCAAGAGGCAAGGGGTGAACTGTAGGGAAG